TGCCCACTTGGCTGTGTAGGACGCTCGGGTAGACGCGGCCCTGGCTCCCTGAATGGTGCGTACAACATCTTGAGAGAGACCCAACCTCTCTAAGTGTTCCCGGGGCCATGCCCATAAGTGCTGGCCTATCACTGGGTGACTGTAGATCGCTCCCTCCACCTGCGAGAGAGCATCCCCGCGCCACGGAATTTCCCACGGCCTGCCTGACAGCGTACGCTGTAGGCATGGAAACCAGGAAGCGCCCGTGCGCTCCGGGGCAATTAGGATCACTGACAGCCGCTCCTCCTGCACTCGGTCCAGAAACCGGGGAATCAGCGGGACTGGGGGGAAGGCGTACAGCAGTCCCCTGGGCCATGGACGATGTGCGAATGCATCCACCCCCAGGAGGGGGAGGTCCCGCGCTGACAGGGAGAATCAGAGGGCGCATTGCGTGTTCCCGCCTGCGGCGAACAGATCCGCCTCCGCCCTCCCGAACTGGCTCCAAACCTGGGCGATCAGCTCGGGATGTAGGCTCCAGTCCTCCTGGCGAGGACCTCCTCTGGACATGAGGTCTGCCCCTTTGTTCAACTCGCCGGGCACATAAAGTGCTCTGATGGAGAGTAGGTGCGCGCGCGCCCAGATCAACAGCCGTCTGGCTGTGTTCAGAAGCTGCGCTGAGCGTACCCCGCCCTGGCGATTGATGTAGGCTGCCTCTGTTGTCTGTGCGAATCAATACATGTTGATTCTGCAGCAGCGAGGCAAAATGCTGAATTACTCTCCGTACGGAGATCAATTCCAGCACGTTTATGTGGAAGGACATGTGAGTCGGCCACTGTCCCCTCACTGCCCCAATGCACGTTCCTCCCCACCCTGAGAGAGATGCGTCTGTGAACACCGAGATGTGTGATGTAACTCTGCCCAGGGCCACACCCTCTGACAGGACGTGGGGACTTTTCCAATAGGTTAAGTCTGAACCCACGGACAGAGGGATGACCACCATGCGCCTCCTCTGTCGCACGGGGTCGATGCGTAGGCGAATAAACCACCTCTGGAGTCTTCTCATGTGAAGGAGACCCAGGGGAATCACCCCGTGGTCGGCTGCCATCATGCCGAGCAGCCGCATCACGGAGAGGGCTGTAACCACGCTGCGGGGTGTGACGCGTCGAAGGAGAGCTGTCAGCGTCTCCACTCTCTGCCGTGAGAGTCGCGCTCTCATGCGGGCTGAGTTCAATTCCACACCCAGGTAAACAATACTCTGGGAGGGAAGAGGACAGCTCTTTTTCCAGTTTATCATGAAACCCAGCTTTGACAGATGCGATATGAGCTGTACCGTCTGTAAAGCCACTTCCTCCCTGGAGCGAGCCATCAGCAGCAGGTCGTCCAGGTAAAACAGTACTCTCATCCCTCCTCTGTGTAGCGGCTGCAATGCCGTCTCTACACACTTTGAAAAGGTGCGAGGAGCCAGGGAATAACCGAACGGCAGACGGTTGTACTGGTACGATATTCCCTGGAATGAAAACCGCAGGAATTTCCTGTGTTGTGGGATGATGGGTACGTGGAAGTATGCATCCTTTAGGTCTATAGAGATGAACCAGTCTCCCTGGTGAACACACTCTAGCACCCTTTTGACCGTCAGCATGTGAAACGGCCTTTTCATTATTGCCTCGTTGAACGCTGACAGGTCGAGGATGGGTCTCATTCCCCCCGTCTTTTTCGGGATAAACGCCGGCAGTGCCGTGGCAACGGAGAAGGGGACCATGTGCTCGTCCGCCACACCCGTACCTCGCTCCGACCCCGGGGGAGGGGAGAGCCGCATGGCGAGCCATGGAGGGAGACGGGGTAGGAGCCGTCCGACTCCTGCCCAGCACTCGGCTCCAGAAACAGGCTGTCGTCCCTGTGCTCCTGGACGGGCCAGTCGTCCTCCTCAGCCGCGGCAACTAGAGCGTCCGCTCTTCGCTGCCTGTCGGCTGATGGGAGACGGGCACAATGCGAACACGCAACCTGCTGGCTGAGAGCCGCGTACGCGTGCTCTTGCCCCAGACAGGATTCGCATATCGCGTGTAGGTCATAGCTCATGATGTACCCCGTTTTACATGAGGGACAATCACAGACACAATTGTTGCTCATGACTCTAATTCCTTTCCTGTGCTTCAGTACTGCTTTGACGGTTGCTGACGAAAAGAGGGAGCAGATTGCCGGGCCACCTTCCTATTTATACCGGAAGGAGGCCCAAGGGTGGGGCCAACCTTGCGGTTTTCAGTGTTTCAGTGCTGCGCGGGGGCGCAGGGGAATTACCCAATAGCGATAGCCTTAGAGGGCGAAGCCATATACGAAATAGAACAGCAAAACACCCAAAACGTGACATAACACAATAATCGTAACAGGAGCCGCCTCTAAGCTCCGGAATCCGGTTCGCTTCGAGCACCAAAAAAAAAGTTGTCCGTCTAGAAAGCAAGCACCGCATACGTCACGCTTACGTCGGAGGGGGGCGAGGTTAACCTGAGCTAGAATGGGAAAAGCCTTGGTGTGAAAGGGGTATTTGTCAATAAATGCAAGAGATGCAGCATTTTCTCAACAATGTTTAATTTACATTTTTCAACTTCCTCAGACGTCACTCATTGGCTGACAGTCCAACGATGATTTGGACTTTATTACCCCAAAAACACAAGCCACAGCTTTGCTATCATTGCAGTTTAGTCGTGTTTATATCCTACATTGGATTTTTAAGCATATAATGCTTCACCGAACACAGGAGGTGGCTTGGCTGTCTACAAATAAAGACGGCTCATTTTAATTCTCCCCAAATATATTGAGGCTGAACCTGAACTTTGAATTCTCTGCTCCCATCATAATCTTGGCGATCTTGTTAAAATTGTGAATGCAGAATTATAAATACTATTTAACTGGTTTGCAGTGCATAAATTATCCCTTAATGTGGCCAAAACAAATTACATGTTATTCAATACAAAGTCTGAGAGTAGAAATGACTGCATTATACGGATTTGCAATACTGAGATAGAGAAAGTTGGTGCATGTACATTTTTAGGACTGCTTGCTGACAAAAAACTCAATTGGAAGCACCATATAAATTATGTACAGACTAAAGTGTCAAAAACAATAGGTATTTTTTATCATACTAAGAACATTCTTGAAGAAAAATACTCTTTATAACAATCTATTTCTCCCTTACCTTTACTACTGGACGTTGTACACAGGATTTGGTGTTTATGTGATGTGAAATCTGAAAACGTTTTTAAAAATCACGTTTTGTTCAGTCGGATAATCTCCACATGTCTACCCTACTTTTATAATTTTGGAATCATAAATCTATTGATCATAAATCTATCGATTAGATTTATGATTCGAAATTTAAAGTAGGTGCTCTATGCTGCCCATTATGGACACAAGCAATTTTTACCATTTATTAATGATATGTTTAAATTTGATAACACCAATGTGTTTCCCATCCCCTAAACCTCCTGGGGTGTGTACAGAGTTTAATACTGGCAACTTATAATTAATGGGAAATACAAAAACGTCTTTTAAAACTACAATTCCCAGTAGAGGCTTGCCATAGAACATGTTGTGAAGCACAATAGCCAGCATGTGTAGTTCTAAGGGGGGGGGACTAGTTCGAATCATGTTTTGGATAGTGTGCCGTGGATGGGCTTAATTCCGTTTCAAAGTGCTGGTTTGACGGCTCGGACGTAACGCTTGGGCGCGCTGCCACTCTAACATCCACATCACGCAGAGCTTGGAGGACTAATCACCGGCGGTTTGTCAAGCAAAGCGGCAGTGTGAGTCCCCAACGATTAGCTGAGGGATTATCGATAGTGTTGTCATCTCCCACATTCTGTCCATTCTGCATCCTAACCTCCGAAGAACATATTCTGTTTTCTCTGAATCGAAGGGGAAAAACACAAACAGTGTATGTGACACAATTTAAACCAATCAATTTGGTAATTACAAACTACGTATAGCTAGTAGTAGTGCAGATATGCAGCTGTCAAATCAATCGACAGTAAGGACAATACTTACTTCCGGGTGAAATCTCCTTATCCACATGGGAATGGAAAACTCACATGCCTTTAACTGCCTCGATGGGATACATTGAATCATGTTGCAAAGCGCTTTGCGTCGTTTATGAAGATGACAGGACTCATCGCGGTCCAACGTGCAGGTGCCAAAGGACCTGACCAAGCGTACGCTATTGGTCACTATTGAGTGAGACCTTGGTTTGTTTCTCAATTCTCGAAGGTAAGTTTGCTTGGTAGCACAGCTCTTCTGAGCGTCGTTGCTCAGAAGCGAGGCAAGAATACTTCCCAGCCTGGATAAACGAAGAATCGGAACAGGCGAGCAAGTGTTTGTGTTGTTGTGCGTCATATGAGAGGACTCCGCGCTTACATTTTTCCGCCACAGATTGGGGAAATTGGGTCCGTGCGCAAAGCATGTGGGATTTTAAGACGCGGCAAGTTACACCATGTGCAGCCTCGAAATTTCTCCAAACGGGAGTTGACGCCCGCTCTGGTAGAATTCCAGTATGCTGGACATTGGAACAAGTACTTTCGGCCGGGCATCGATGACTAGTATGCTTGGAAATAGTGCTCTGGAGCAGCTTTACTCGAGATTAAGAAACTACCCACTGTGTTGGTAATGTTAGACCAACTGATCAGTCCTCACCCATGTCATCGCTTTCCTGCCATATTTGTCCAGTATAATTGCCGGTATATTTGAACTCTGACCATTAGTAACGACCGCAATCCATTACTTACCTTTAGACCCTTTATTAAATGCATGGCCCAAATGATTAGGAGTTTGGTGAGGCTGTGGTCGAGTAGATGCTGGACTTGGGAATCACGAGGTAGCGAAGTTCGAGTCCCACTCCGCAGTCAGCATTCGGTTGTCGTCCCTGGCCAAGACACTTCACCCCAGATTGGCTCTGTGGGGATTGTCCACAGTAACTGCTATGTAAGTCGCTTTGGATAAAAGCGGGGTCTAACAAATATGGACGATTGTAATTAATGTCTAACTTGAAATATGCCCAGACTTGTGTCCAAGGATCATTGAAAGCTGTGAAATTTAAGAAGCAACCTTCACCCTCTGCTCCGCTTCACAGACACTGGGATCTGTTCGGCCAGGAGACTATTGCAGCCGAGGTGAATACCATCCTTTCCCAGAGATAGATGACAAAGTCCTGGAGTGGAGAATGGGCCCAAAAGAGCTGATACGTGTTCGAGGGAAAGCAGAGACTGAGAGCTCTGAATTCGTGACTGGTATATGCCACTATTCAACAAGGAAGAACTGCAGGCAGGAATTGTTCACAGCACAATACAGATCGTATTTTCATGACTTTTCTATCCTCTGACAGTGTGTAGAAATTGGTCTGGAGGCAAAAATAATAAGATACAATGATTTTCATTTCAAGTTGTTGGACTAGCAGAACTAAAACTTCTGTCAAACAAAGATGTTGCGTACCATAAAAGGTTTTTCTGTTCATGCGGTTGACAAGTACTGGTGTGTTTATGACAAGGCAAGTTTAT